GTTTCTTGGCTGTCATTTGGCAACTCGAAGTTTCAGCTCCCTCCACAGATTTTCTATAGGATTGAGGTCTGGAGACTGGCTAGGCCACTCCATGACCTTAATGTGCTTCTTCTTGAGCCACTCCTTTGTTGCCTCTGCGGTTCCGGGTCATTGTCATGCTGGAAGACCCATCCATGACCCATCTGCAGTGTTCTGGCTGAGGGAAGGAACTTTCTCCCAAGCCTTCTCTGAATCATTTAGATGTTCTTTGGCAACTTTAAATGGGCCTGTACATGTGCCTTCTTGAGCAGGGGGACTTTGCGGCCGCTGCAGGATTTCAGTCCATTGCAGTGTAGTGTGTTACCAATATTTTGCTTGGTGACTGTGGTCCCAACTGCCTTAAGATCATTAACAAGCTCCTCCCGTGTAGTTCGAGGCTGATCCCTCACCTTTCTCATGATCAGCCTTACCCCATGAGGCAAGATCTTGCAAGGAGCTCCAGACTAAAGCCGATTGATGGTTATTTTGTATTTCTTCCATTTCCGAATAATCGCACCAACAGTTGTCTCCTTCTCACCAAGCTTCTTGCTGATGGTCTTGTAGCCCATTCAAGCCTTGTGCAGATCTACAATCTTGTCTCTGACATATTTGGTCTTGCCCATGCTGGTGGGAGTGGTTGGAATGGAAGATACAGATTGTGTGGACAGGTGTCTTATACACCTAACAAGCTGACATTAGGAGTAACTTCTTTAAAGTGACGGGACTAATCTGTGTTCCACGTGGGCACATAACCAATCTGTCGGAGCCAGAATTCTTGCTGGTTGGTAGGGGATCAAATACTTATTTCACTCACTGAAATGCAAATCAATTTCTAACCTTTATATAATGTGTTTTTTCTGGATTTTTTGTTTGACATTCTGTCTCTACCCGTTAAAATAAACCTACCATAAAAATTACAGACCCTTAATTTCTTTGTAAGTGGGCAAACTTTCAAAATCAGCAGGGGGATCAAATAAATATTTTCCCCACTGTATAGGAATGATCTGATGTTGTGCGGTGTTCTGGTTCTGATCTGATTTTCATTTTTTTTTCTTTTCCAATTCTTGTCTCTGAAAAAGTGGGAATAGGGCTACGAAATGCAGAAACTGTCTGTCTCTCACTGTCTCAGTACAAACCTCCTTGAACAGAGGCAGCTAATTTCATCATAGTTTGAATGCATTTTTAAGAGGATAAAGCTAAACAAATATTTCATTATTTATGCACTGGATTCCTCATCATTATTTTCATCATTTATCTGCAGCAGGTAATTAGATTAGAGATAACATTAACTAGAGAAAGCATTGCCTAGATTAGGACCAAAGTATCTTTTAAAAGTAGTTTGTCATTGTGAATAATAAACAGATTTGTAGTTCTCTCATAATACTCATGCTTTCTCATAACGGTTTCGCCCTCCTAAATTTCCAATGCCTTTAAACAACTGTTTATTTCAAATTGTTCTAGTAAACGAACAGAAGTAACAATTTTCACTTCCATGATAAAAATAAATGATCTTCAAAAGTATTTTGCAGTAGTTTTTCCAAGGAGAGATGTGGTTTAGTATTATATAGTTTGTCTTGTAATGCCTTGAACATCTTTGTGTGATTATACAGATATGCATGCAGACAATATAAGAGTTTTTATTTATTTATTATTATTATTTTTTTATATCTTTAATAAAGTGGCGGAGATCTACAAACGCATAGTAAACGTTCACACAACAACAGAATACTGTTGTCAGTCCTTTTGAGTGCTAAATAAGGTTTTGTTCATGCATATAGTTTGTCTTGTAATGCCTTGAACATCTTTGTGTGATTATACAGATATGCATGCAGACAATATAAGAGTTTTTATTTATTTATTATTATTATTTTTTTATATCTTTAATAAAGTGGCGGAGATCTACAAACGCATAGTAAACGTTCACACAACAACAGAATACTGTTGTCAGTCCTATGCAGATCTGTTATAAAAGAGTGACAGACGCATTATGTAACAATAGTGATTGACAGATTTTCAGGAGTCACAACCAAATTTTGAGGGTTGAGTTATGCTGTAGGACTGAAATGGCAGTGGAGTAGTCTATCCCATCACTGAAAGGGGTTAGCATGAGGTGTGCGCTTAGGGCTGTCAACCTCTCTCAGGTTATGTAAAATGGTGGTATTGTGTAGTGAGAGAGAGAGTGAGACAAAACAGTATTTAGGAAATAGGCCAATGAGGGGGCGTGGACGGAACCGGAGAGTTCTTGACCACATATATGAACAGTCCCTAAAAAAATCTGAAATCCTTGAAATCCTTTTATAGTCTATTGACTATCATTATCTGTTCCTATGGTTACAAGCAATATTTGCTCTACGTAGAAGGGGACTGACTTTGAATACATTATAGGCACAAGGCACTCCTCTGTTGTTGTAGGTACAAGACAGTTTGAGAATCACACATGCTAGTAAATACGGTTGTTAATCCCAAACACTGAAGTACACACCACAGAATTTTGGATTGCTATGATAAGCACAGCAAACACTCATTTGGGCGTCTCATGGCTGTGAACGAGAAATATGTTTGACAACAGTTTAACCTATTTGGTGTCCGTTATGTTTGACCGAAGATTAGCGACCCAAAGACGCATTGTGTTGTGCAATTTTACCTAAACCACCGCTGATCACTTGCTGTTTGATGCTTTTAAACAGCACGCTCTTTGAGATGTTGTCTTTTCTGCTTATTATAACCTACTTTGTGCTTTTGGGTTTCCAAGTAAGGTCACTAAAAATGTGAGCAACATACACTTTTTGGGGTTTTATTAGGTTTGTTTTGCCATAGAGAAAGACGTGTCAAAATGTAGGAAGGAGTCAAGACACATACCTCTTTTCCTGTGCTTTCTTCTATGTGAGCTATTTGAATTCAATGTTAATGTTGTTGTCACTACCGGAGAATTGTTAATGCCTTGTTCCAGACGAAGTCAAAGGCGGGAAACTGAAATGTCCTGCTTCCAACCTCAATGCCTTCAGGTCAATCACACGTCACTGTCAAATGTAGCCCTGAACCACACGATGGCGCCATGACTCAATGTAAGCATCTCGTGTTCACACACCAATAATAAACAACATCAACAAAAGTACTGAACACTAAATGCTCGGGTTAGCATTTGTATATATTTGTATATTATACATTTGTGTAATATACATCTTTGTATACCACATTGTAAACTTAATGTTTGCGCTATGTTCGTCAGTCACCGCCATCTTTGAACAAATGCATTTAAAGATCGTAGTTACATAACCTAACCCGACTGATGTCCAACTTTAAGCGCCGTTCCTGTCATTTTTCCCCCATGTAGGAGGTGGGAAAGAGTTCCGATCTGTCTGAATGCAAAATAAGCACTCGGGAGTAACAACCGTATTTAGTTCCAGTGTGTACGCGGCCATAGAGCCTGAATTGCTGAAGAGCTTAGTTCATACAAAACTGATCTGCTTAAGAGAAAAAGAGCAGGGACGCATGTTCATCGGACTTGGTATCTCTCATACCCCAAAATACAGATAATGATACTGGCTAGCATGTGCAGACATGTTCATATGTAAAAACGACTTTGATAAACCTGGCCCAGAAATAGAAACAGCTGCTGCTGAATATTGTCGTCTTTCTCTGTAACCACAAGAGGGTAGAAGTG